AGCGATTCGTTGTTTGCTGTGGACATGGAGAAGAAACTCCATCAACCAGTAGTATCCCTTCAGTCTGGTCTTTACGTCACTCCCATTATCAAGCCACCCACCAGATCGATCTATAGCCGTCTGGTGTCCAGCGTGGCCGATCCCCCGCTGAGATCAGCACGGGTTGCCAAAAAGGCTAACCTGCTTGGGACTCGTTTCGTCCAGACCGTCCCGCCTGCCGAGCCAGAGCTTCACGTCAGCCACGTCCAGCCAGAGCTTCACGTCAGCCACGTCCAGCCAGAGCTTCACGTCAGTCACGTCCAGCCAGAGCTTCACGTCAGCCAGAGACCGTCCAGCCAGAGACCGTCCAGCCAGAGACCGTCCAGCCAGAGACCGTCCAGCCAGAGACCGTCCAGCCAGAGACCGTCCAGCCAGAGACCGTCCAGCCAGAGACCGTCCAGCCAGAGACCGTCCAGCCAGAGACCGTCCAGCCAGAGACCGTCCAGCCAGAGACCGTCCAGCCAGAGACCGTCCAGCCCACTTCTGCCCAGCCAGAGACCGTCCAGCCCACTTCTGCCCAGCCAGAGACCGTCCAGCCAGAGACCGTCCAGCCCACTTCTGCCCAGCCAGAGACCGTCCAGCCCACTTCTGCCCAGCCAGAGACCGTTCACGTCACGTCTGCTCAGCCAGAGACCGTTCACGTCACGTCTGCTCAGCCAGAGACCGTTCACGTCACGTCTGCCCAGCCAGAGACTGATCACGCCACACATGCGCCGCCTGAGCCCTCAGTGACCGCAACACTGGCCATTATGGCCACAGCCATGTGGTGTGTGTGGGCTACGCACACACTTGAGCCGGTGTCCGCTGATCCTGCGCCAGAGCCCGCTGATCCTGCGCCAGAGCCCGCTGATCCTGCGCCGGTGTCTGTTCCTGCTGATGACCCCATGGCTGACCCTAAGAAAATTTTGGGGGGGGGCAGTAGGACCCTTGATGGGACTGTGAAGGCCGCACCGCCATGGCCGCCCGAAGGGTCTTCTCCGCCATGGCCGGCCGAAGGGTCCTCTCCACCATGGCCGCTCGAAGGGTCTTCACCGCCGTGGCCGCCCGAAGGGTCTTCACCACCGTGGCCGCCCGAAAGGTCTTCACCACCGTGGCCGCCCGAGGAGTCTTCACCGCCATGGCCGCCCGAAGGGTCTTCACCACCGTGGCCGCCCGAAAGGTCTTCACCACCGTGGCCGCCCGAAGGGTCTTCACCACCGTGGCCGCCCGAAAGGTCTTCACCGCCATGGCCGCCCGAAGGGTCTTCACCACCGTGGCCGCCCGAAAGGTCTTCACCGCCGTGGCCGCCCGAAGGGTCTTCACCACCGTGGCCGCCCGAAAGGTCTTCACCACCGTGGCCGCCCGAGGAGTCTTCACCGCCATGGCCGCCCGAAGGGTCTTCACCACCATGGCCGCCCGAGGAGTCTTCACCGCCATGGCCGGCCGAAGGGTCCTCTCCACCATGGCCGCTCGAAGGGTCTTCACCGCCGTGGCCGCCCGAAGGGTCTTCACCACCGTGGCCGCCCGAAGGGTCTTCACCGCTGTGGCCGCCCGAAGGGTCTTCACCACCGTGGCCGCCCGAGGAGTCTTCACCGCCATGGCCGCCCGAAGGGTCTTCACCACCGTGGCCGCCCGAGGAGTCTTCGCCGCCGTGGCCGCCCGAGGGGTCTTCGCCGCCGTGGCCGCCCGAGGGGTCTTCGCCGCCGTGGCCGCCCGAGGGGTCTTCGCCGCCGTGGCCGCCCGAGGGGTCTTCGCCGCCGTGGCCGCCCGAGGGGTCTTCGCCGCCGTGGCCGCCCGAGGGGTCTTCGCCGCCGTGGCCGCCCGAGGGGTCTTCGCCGCCGTGGCCGCCCGAGGGGTCTTCGCCGCCGTGGCCGCCGGAAGGGTCTTCGCCGCCGTGGCCGCCCGAACTACCTAGTCCACCCTGGTCGCCTGCGCAGCCTGCTCCGCCCTGGTCGCCTGCGCAGCCAGCTCCTTCCACGTCCCATGGCCCAGGTCCGCCCACGTTCCTGGCCCACCATTGCAAGGCCCTGGTCCTGTTCCCCGTGCGGACCTGGCCCTCCATCCCTCCCCCAGGACCGCCTCCGCTCCACCACCCTCCTGAAATGTCTGTTTTTTGTTTTTGTTTTGATGGGCGTCGGGAGCCGCCCATTGAGGGGGGGGGCTATGTTGTAATGTCAGTCTGTGTTCCCCTGTCATTTCTTGTTTTAGCAGTTCCCCATTATGTCTATTAGTCTTCCCAGGTGTCCCCGGTTAACCACGCCCCCTTGTTATCTTGTTCAGCTCGTTTGCCCTTGTATTTAAGCCCTGTGTTTCAGTCCAGTCTTTGTGAGTTCTTGTATTGTTACTGTTAATGTTGGATGCCCTGTTCCTGTTCTGAGTCTGAGTCTTTGTGAAGTTTTCAGTTTATTTAATAAAGTGTACTGCATGTGGATCCTGCTTCCTCCGTGCTTCAACCACCATCGTAACAGTTATAAACATATTT